ACATTCTAGATTTTTCGTGGGATGCTGATCTTTTTCTTGATGTATTCATAACTTATTACGGACAGAGATTTTGGTCCAGTAAGTAGGCAACACGCGAAATATAATTTGTACAAAAAAATCGATGACTTTTTAATTATTTTAAATTTTTTACCACAGCGATATATACTAATATTATAATTCGTTCTTTGTATGTTAGGAATGCAATTTGTATGCGTTGGTTAGCAAAAATGAACTTTGAAACCCACCGAACGGGTTTTTACATTTTTAATTTTTCATTTTATATTCGTAAATAAATATTTTTGACAGAACTTTTGATTAATATTATTTAAATAGAAAATATAATTTAATAAATTTCGTCATAACAGCTATGTTAAACATTACGATGGCCAAATTCGTTGTCTATTTTTTTACTATTCATTTTTTACAAGCGCGTGATAGAACTTACTCGTATATATCACGAACTTCTATATTAGTATTTCTAGACGAAAAACTCGGCAATTTTTCCGTAAATATTCATTGAATTACGAGAAATTTAATATGAAGAGAAATATTCGAAAAATATGCCTAAAAATGTGAAAAAAATTGTTTATATTTTTACATTTAAAATACAAAAAAGAAAAATCGTTTACTGCCAATTTTGAAACAGTTCAATAAAATATTGGCGTTATACACATATTGTATCAAAAATAACTTGTGTTTGAGGGTCTAACGTGAAGCACAAATAAAAAAAAAACTTTGAAGTGTTATTTTAAGTCTACGTTTCAGACAATCGCTATGGTTAAAAACTTTATGTAAAAACAAACAAAAATAAACCACAAACAACGATAAGGATTTATTTTCATTTATTGAAACTTTTTCTGGATCTGGATAAGTCATTTATTAAATGTAATTTATTATATGCTATCACGTGTTCAGCGGTGAAGGAAAATATCGTGAGGAATCCTGCATATATTCAAAAAACTTAAAAGATATGTGAAGTCCGCCAATCTGCAGTGGGGCCGCGTGCTATTGCTAGTGGTAGACAGCTAAAGACAGTGGTAGACAGCTAAAGCTAGTGGTAGACTATGTATGCCCTGATACCCTCTGTACAGAGGAGGCGTACGGATGTGTAACTTACTTTAATTTAATATTTTATATGTATTTTATATTTATATTGCAAAATATTAGTTTTGGCATGTATAATTGTGCATGTTAATGTATTTTATTTATTTATTTGTTTTTTCTAACTTTTGTTCCTATTCCTTTTATCTCTGCCTCACCTAATAGGTATATTGGTAGATGACGCGTCAGGTAATTAAGGCCGCCTGTATACAAAATTTGTCTTTACTTGAATAAGTAAATATCTATTGGCGTCCATTAAAAAATGGGGCTCAAATTTTCTTCTGATAAATTGTAAAACTTCACGCGAACGAAGTCGCGGATAGCAGCTGATTTTAACTAAAATTATAAACACCTCATTATTCTATTTCAAATTATTCTTCTTTGACCTGAAAAGCAGCGGAATCCCCGTGGTAATTGATGACGACAACAGAAAATAATGATTAAAATCTAAAAGCTCCATTTAAATATTAGTTCAAGAAATTGCCTCTCCCTATTACATTGTTTGCTTAATTTAAATCCACAGTACACTTAATTTGCATGTCCCTCATGGCCCCTAGAGTTTTATAACGAAAACTCGCTTGTCACTTGATTAATATGAACTATAGTTCTGTTAAAAATAATTGTATTGCAGTACTTTTCCATTACAGATTTACAGTTCTTTTAATTTGAAATGAGTAATACAAATAAATCACTACATGTTTGTTTTAGTAAAAAAAACCTTGAGCATTAGCTCCTTCCCAAATGCTTAAAGGAGGTCTTTGTTGCTATAATAAACCTATCAAAAGAATTAAAACCGAAGCAAATGCATACAGCGTATGCTTAAGAAATTTTTATGAAATACATCCTGCCAGTGTTTTATCATTTAATTTACACGAGAGAAATGTATATGTAGTATTTGACTATATAACGAGATAATAGTTTATAATAGCGAAACAACAGAACAACAAGATAAATAAAAAGTATCTAAATTGCTACTATAAAAAATATTGACATTAATTTATGTAATTTTGTATTTACGTATTTGTTCCTTAAAATTGAAAAATAAAAATAAAAACACAAGAGACATTTTGTTTAAAAAAAGAGAACCGTACTAACATATACTAAAATACTAACCTGTCGATGAATTTGAATTGGGAAAAAACTACTCATGTCCATAGGAACAGTCCTATAACTTAAGTGTACACTTATACATCACTGCCACTGATCCAACACGTAAGAATTTCCACAGACGTTCAGGACGTCCGACCGCATCGACGCTCGGTAGAGAACTGCTGCCGCTGAGCTGAGCCCTAACATTCCAAGTTTGAAAATGTCCCTCGGAAACTGTCGGGCGAGTCGGGTGGCCGGTGCATTATGTTTATTGTGCGAGATTGCACAGCAAGGGACAATCTGTTAAGCTACGGTGAGTCCAGTTGAATTATATTGTTTTATGCTTTCACTTTTCTATCAATAACCGAGTTACAGCATCGCTGTACACGAACTTGTTACTTACAAGTTCGTCTATATCACTTACAAATGTTTTAAAAGCTATTTTTTTAAGGGAACCCATCCCAGAACATAATATTTTGTAAAACAATACGCTCTGTCACGTTTTAGATATATGAGCTACACAAGTCGGGAATTAAATTTAATATAGATATTTCACACTGAACATATATATACTTACAAAGCCCCGAGAAAAAGCAAATAGTTATATTTTGAGTAATTGCGAGTGCCAGTGTTTCCTCACTCTCTCACGATGAGACTCTAGTTTCACTTATGTGATTATATACATGATGGTCAATACTAAGATACATTATCCATTATATTAATTTTCTGCAATAATTAATACCTTCAAAACTTAATTCAGAAGTTCTAAAATATCTTGCTTGCCTATTCAATTTTTATCTAAGTTCTACAAAAAGGGAAAACAAAAATCATTTAACGAGCAGTCAAGAACACATATCTAAGCGGTAGAGGGTAAATTTTCATTGGCCCGTCGAAATTTACAACCCGTTTTAAATTTTTCCTCAAACAATCTGTAGTATCACACCGTATTTAGTAATCGATTTTAAAGAATTATTTATTAGTCGTTTTCTCGCCCCACAAAAGGAAGGTTATATGTTTGACCGATGTAAGTTCGTATTATGTTCGACCCTATATTTCCTTGCAACTAAGTGACAGAACCAATTTCAACTAACTATAATTCACACAATTTTCAGTAAATATTTATTTCATTTCCTGTGGTTAGTTCGAAGTTACGTCATATGCTAACATAATACAAAGTTCTTAGTTTGCCAAAGGAAGTTCACATAGCAGACTAAACTATGTCTTTGTATGCCATTTAATATTCGTTATGTGATAACGTAGGCGAGGACCGAAAACCGTTCTTGGAGATAAATTGATTAATATCAAAGACCAAATACGTCTCACTTATTATGAAACTCTCGTGCACTTGCTTTATTCTATAAGGGCATAAGTAAGTTATTTTGCTATATTATAGAAATAGAGATCTCTTAGTTATTAATTCCTCCGCTTTTGGGCTGTATATCCAGCCATATAATTTCGTATTATTTCAACATTAATATAATTTTATAAATTCACTACGAAGCGTTTCGCTTCGTCATTTATCATCTGTACAGCTGAGGAATGAAACAGCTTGTCAGCGTCCGTCATTCCGTCCGATTACAAAGTAGGCGTCTTCAAAGCAAGTGTGAATAGCTTTTTACTGAGCTAGCTTGCTGCGGCTTCATCACCACTTACTTATGATAGGCAGGTGGGATAGCAGTCAATCAAGTGCTGGCCAATAAAATAAATAAAAAAAATAAAAACTCTAAATTTATCAATAACTGTGATAAAATGTGTAATTAGTACGTTTGATAAAGTTTTTTTTTTTCAATTTTCAATTATTTTTGGACGCATCGAATAATTGTTTTCGTCGAAAGAAACATCGCATTCTTACAAAATGTTTCTTCTTAGTTCAGCTTCTTGTAAATTATAACAATGTATAAACATACAGATAACACACATCTGTTTACGGCGGTAGGGCCACGCAGCAGCCTCGGCTGTTGCACGAATGGGCAGGACCGTCCGGGTAAGTACCACGACCTCACAGAAGACCAGCGTATAGTGGAAGTATGACAAATACTTTCGCGTTTCTTCTGGTGAGTGAGGTAGCCGGAGCCCAATTCATAAAAGGTTGTCAACGCATCTGTAACCCTCGGGTGTGGCAGATGTCCGTGGGCGACGGTATTCACTTAACATCAGGTGAACCGTGATGGTTTGACAACTTTTCGCATAAAAAAAAATTCTTATACATCATCAGATAAAATCAGAAATTTATTATATGGCTATGAAAAAATGTCTAGACAACATAATTGATTATGTTTAATCAAATTAAGTTATACGGGCAACAGAAATTGAACAATCCTCGATAATTATGATTCATTACAAAGTAATACCATATTTTTAGTAATATGGCAGTTGTTGTTATGAGTAACGTTTATAAATAAAGCAATTCATTCATACATGTAATAAGCCGTAATAGTTGTTTTAGATTATAGTTATAGAGCTCCTTGCGAGTTTGAAACAAATAAAGGATAAAAATGATACACGGATTTTTATGCAAAAACGAAATAAAAGAAATTATATGAAATAATTACCATACCAACATATTAAACATTTGAAAAATTATGTTATCGATATATATTATCGACATAAAGTGACATAAAACAACCGTAGCAAGAAGGAGTCAGATTCCCGGAAGAAGCACCATAATTGGAGGATCTACCTACAAATTTGTGAATAAAGATCGCTATAGCTTAAACACATGTAGAAGAAAGGCAGAAACTTAACCCATATAATCTGAATAGATGAATTTCGCGCCGTCTCCTGTGGCAACAACATTTCCTTGATGCGTAATGGAGACGGGGGTAAAGGGCAAAACATCAGATTACACATTTAACTGTGGCTGCGCGGTGCAAATTAAATTAAAGTACGCCGGTCTAAAGAAGCAATTTAAATACGTACGCCTTTGAGCTAAAGTAAAAAGACACTCTTAAGTTAGTAATTAAAGAATAGTAACTTGAAACGGTACACCATCACTTATACAGTTTCAAATATGATAGCGCATTTATATTATGTTATATTTATACAACCTCATACTGGCCATCGCAGTGCTCGACGATCCCGCACTTGATAAACAATAGACCTGTGGAAATGTGCAGGAAGTCAATGGATGCAGATAGCTCAGGATCGTACTTCATGAGAATCTGTAGGGGGTTGATGATGACGATGACGATTTATGACCAATGATGTCATTACTACCTACTGGAGGCTGACTGATATAGTTGAAAGTAATTATTAACCATCAGGTAAGATGCCTAGCACTAGCCTTGAGATATAAATAAATTGAATATATTTCTTTTTTCGCTCAAAGGTTAAGCATAACTATTCAACGAGGAATTGCAGCTAGCGTTCTTGGCACCATACCGCGTGGACCAGGTTTATTAGATAATATGTAATTTACATAGATTTAACATTGAAAATGTTGGATAAATAAATTGAATATTTTCAATTAAATATAGCAATTAATCAACAGAACAAACCTTTTTGGAGTTGTCATGTTTAAAATTAAGTTTACTGCCATACTCAGTTTTGTCCGCCTAATTTATCTTTAACTATGTTATTGCCGTAGTCAAGTACAAATATTACGTGACTATAATATACTCTCGCGTTTCTTCTGGTGAGTGACTACAAAAACATTCCTTTTATTTTGAATATTTGACGCATAAGTGACAACTGAAATAAATGTCAAAATTGTAATTGACGAAATTGCATATATTTAAAAGTTGTTATTATATACAATAAGATACAAAAGGACTTGATAAAATAAATGAATGACAGCAAAAGTGTTTCAGAAAAAGATCTTCTAGATGCAATAAAAAATGTCTTACGAAAAAGTGGCAGCTTGAGCAAAATTCAGGCGGAGGTATTATTATTCAAATGCACATTTTGTCGGTGCATTTGAAAACTATAAGATAATATTAGTTACTAATTGTATGTTTTTCAATTTGTGTAATTCCTTAATATTTACAACATTAAATCTATCTAAATTATATATAATCTAATAAACCTAGTCCACGCGGCATGATGTCATGAACACTTGCTGCATTTCTTCGCTGAACAGTTATACTTAACTTTTGAACGGGAAAGGACGAGACCTCTTGTCATCAGTGTTGAGCTTAGTACAAAGGATCAATAATCTTCTTTAACAAGTAATCTACCTTAACGAAGTAACGTTAAGGAATATTATTGAAGGAAAAAACCACTGAGACTGAGCCCGCCCCACTGAGACTCCAATTTATAATCTTAGATTGAGAGCCAATGTTCTCAGCAGTTAGACATACCAGATACCCTTTTTATTCTACTGACCGTAATAGCTCAGTGTACGGGCCCTCGCATTAAATTCAATACAATCGAGCAACTTGAGTTCGATCCCCAGTGCCGGCATCAATGAAATTGATAATTTTAATTGGTGATATATCAGGTGCTCAGCGGTGAAGGAAAACATCGTGAGAACCTGCATATTTTAGAAATAAGAATAAAAACATTTTTTGAAAGTATGTGTAGTCCGCAAATCCGCCGTGTGGCTGCGTGGTGGACTATTTTATTTTATTTTATTGATTAGGAAAGCTACTATGCCCTCTTCCCCTCTGTACAGAGGAGGCCTTTGGCCAGCAACGAGACGTGTATAGGCTGTAACTTTACCCTTTTTTGCCTGTTTAATACTTTAACTGTTTACATTATAGATACGAGCGAAGGTTACAGAGATCCTCCATGATCGACCACTGTCAAACAACCCCGACAGCCACAATATCAGCCCCCCGCCACCAACCCATGAAGTCCAACTAATCAATGATTTGATATGCGAATACTTGGAATGGAATGGATACCTGTACACCGCCACAGTTCTGTCGTCGGAGGCCGCGCTGCCAAAGGAGAAACGCACAAGGGCAGACCTATGCGCAGAAGTGGGAGTGAAAGACGACGAAAAGTCATCCGCATTACCCCTTTTGTCTAATATCGTAGCAGCATATACGGATCGCATAAAGCGTAAAATTAGTAAGATCAAAAAGGACTGCTCTTAATTGGCGTTTAATAAACACTTGATTGGTCATGCTTGTGAAGTTTCAACTGAATTTCTTCCCTATGTAAAATAAAATCAAATAGATTATTAGAATTTTTATGATTGGTAACTTACAATTCATTATCGGGTATTGTATCTACTAGGATAATATATAGTAGTTAAAAGCTTTCCATTATATCATCGTCACTGCAAATGGTAGCATAAGAAATCAACAAGTAAACCCAGTGGGCTGCAAAATTAGCAGTTCGCGTCTTATTGGAATAATCAATACAACTTACAAAATCCGATATTCAGTAAACTACAGTCGGTTAAACCTAATTAATATAACTACTAGGCTCAGTTTCGATTTTTATAGCATCTTTTGATGTTCTGTTCGCATTTTTAATAATAGCGCCTTTGATAATCTCGTACCATGCTTATCAATAAAAATCCCCATTACTTTTAAAATATTTTTTGTTATTTTTTACAGTCGTTTGTTCCTATAATAATATTAATTTGAAAAGATAGTTTATTATTTACAATGAACAATACAATTTATAGAGAGTATTGTATATAACATGTCGATAGAAAAGGATGCACCTAAGAAACGTTCACCTCAACTGCGATTTGTCTCATGGCCACACGTTGAAGTAGCCACAGTAAATTGCCACGACATTAGTATCTACATTGGCTATTTCCTTTCTTATGATATTTTTGAAAAACATTCTCGAGTTTATTTAGAATGTTTTCTAAATAAACTCGAGAATAAATTTGGATAAAAACTTTAGTCAGATAGAAGGAGAATTATTAATTTTTGGATGTGTGTGAATGAATACATTGGAATTGTTTGAACACATTGACATGTGCTGTTGTGTATAATACAACCAGTCGAAAATAACATTTCACAAAAGGTTTAATCAGTATTAACCTCAATTTATTACATAAACATAGGTCAAATGTTAAATAACATTTCAGTTAATAACAAGACATTTACAACAGATTATGCCGTTTACCTTTCAACGAGCTTAAGGCAGACAGATAGACAGATAGCGGAGTCTTAGTAATAGGGTCCCGTTTTACCCTTTGGGCAAGGAACTCTAAAAAAGCCAAATTTATAACCCCAAATTTATTTCCGTTAAATATTTGTGATAAATTAATAATTAGTAGTTTTGTGAAGATCAATACCGAGAATTTAATAAAACAAATTCAACATTTTCGAATAATAGAAATATCCTTCATGTCATGAAAATGGTTAAATATAAGTTTAATTTACAATGTCGCGGATTTTTAGGTAGAACATCGTAATTCCGATATTTTTATGTCATTCATCATCATCATCATCATTTCAGCCTGTTTGAGTCCACTGCTGAACATAGGCCTCCCCCACAGACTGCCATGAAGTACGATCCTGAGCCACCTGCATCCATCGACTTTCCGCACATTTGCACATGGTCGTCACTCATGTCATTATCGTCGTAATATAATGGTTTTTGACGACTTCTCGCTAAGATGTCCAAAACCGTAACACCGTGGCATCTAATGATGATGTACGAAGCTGGCGCGAGGCCTGCTTTTAGTCGAGTATCGGGGCATCCCCCATGCATCGGACATAGTCTCGACCAGCGAAGGCTGGTCGGTGGTAAGGATGACCAACGGTCATCCCTAACTCTGACCGCGGTAGCGGCACTGGCGGGTGTACAGCGTTACACGCGGTGTGTAACGCGTGGACGACATCGTCTTCTCAACGGCGGAAGTGCGGTCGGGTCCAGCTCCCCAGTGGCCTCCGACCGCAGTAGCTCTCATGGGAGCGGGCGCCCGTCAGGAGGACGGGCGTGGAGGGGTGCGATGTTGTTGAGGTGTGGGTGTGGTCCGTTGTCGGCCCGGTCGTACATGCGACGGGCCAACCGGACCACAAACTCCTGGATAGATTCCATTTTTAAATCGCGGGCGATTACGTCATTCCTGACGTAGCGCCCGGCCCCCACGATTACCCGAAGGGCGAGGTTCTGCTGCGCCTGGAGCCTGCGCCTCTGCGAGGCGGAAACCAGACCATACCACGCCGGAGCGGCGTAGGTCAGGCGCGAACGGACGTACGTCTTGTAGACGCCGAGTTTGGTCTTGATCGGTAACCTGGATGCCAGGATAGGGTACAGCATGGATCGAGCTGCTCTGGCTTGTCGGACGGCGTGTACGACCTGGGGAGCCATGCACAGCGAGCGGTCTATCCGGCATCCAAGGTACCTTATGACGTTCTGGTTGGTAGTCGTCTGACCTCGCAGCTCAAGCGTGGGTTGGTTTTTAATGCGGCGGATGTATATGGCGGACGTCTTGTCGACGTTGACAGACATCCGCCACTTATCCAGCCACTCGGGCAGCAGGTCCAGTTGGCGCTGCATTTTCCTCGCCGCAATCGCCGCGACGTGAGAAGACGTGAAGAACGCACTGTCATCCGCGTACAGGGCCAACAGTACGTCTTCATCCCAGTCGGAGGCGTTTTGCTCCAAGGTGGGAATGTCGTCCGTGTACACCGCATACAGGTGTGGCGACAGACAACTACCTTGTGGTACACCGGCTTTGATGCATCGTACCGCCGAGTCGGCTCCCTCGACGTGTACGACGAACTTCCGGTCCTGAAGAAATGACGCACGGTGGGTGTTGGTGTTTTCCAACAGCTTATGCAGCAGACCCTCGTGCCACACTCTGTCGAAGGCCTTCTCCATGTCGAGAAGGACCACCAGACAGATGCGGCCCCTGTTGTACTGGGCAAGATAGTGCAGTACTCGGGCCAGCTACGCTGTGGTGGAGTGGCCGCTGCGGAAACCGAACTGTTCCCTGCGTAGCTCGATGCAGGGAACTATTCTCCGCAGCAGCAACCGTTCGAAGAGTTTTGCTACGTGCGGCAGTAGCGTGATTGGCCGGTAGCTCGCCGGAAGTCGTCGGTCCTTGCCCGGTTTCGGCAGGACGATGATCTTGCCGGTTTTCCACTCAGAGGGAAGTGCGCCGTGCGCAGTGCGGCACAGCGCCACTAACCCCCTTTTCGGTAGTTGCCTTATCGCCAACGTTGTGATTCCGTCGGTGCCGGGTGCCTTGCGGAGCGCGAGATGACTCGCGGCTCTACGCACTTCGGCCGGAGCAATGAAAAGTCCACCATCCAGCCGTGGCACCGGCTCCGACAGGAACACCTGTATGTGCCGCTCCACTTCTTGGTGGAACGCAATGGCGCCTGGTGCCGATGTATTGGGCACGAATTGCCCTTCTAAGTGCTCTGCCAGAATGTCAGCCCTGTCTTGGGCTGCAACGTGCTTACGTCTGTCACTGCCCACGTGTGGACAGATGGGTTGTGGTGTTCGGCTGAGCTGCCGGTTAAGGTGGTGAAGGGAGGTCTGCGACTCGGAGGCCTGCTCTATGCGGCGCTCCCACTCCTCACCCCTGTACGCCTTGATGGCTGCCGACAGCTCATCCTTGACCTGGTTCAGACGTGTCTTCACTCGTGGGCAGCGGGTGCGTGCCCACAACCTCCTTAGCTCCCTCTTCTCGTGCAGCCGATCGAGGAGCCTACGCGGGAGTGTGTCTTTTCGGTGCACCTGTGGCACCGCCTTGGTCGCCGCGCGCAATTCTTCCTGTATTTTACAGGTGATTTTGCGCGCAGCCTGTTCCACGTCCTCCGCGGTTGAGATGGGTGCACCGAAACTGAAGTCGGACATAGCTCTCGAATAGGCCCCCCAATCGGTCCTGTACCTAGGGCCTGTGTGAGCCATTGAGTCCGCAGCCAGACTCAGCACGATGAGCACAGGGAGGTGCTGCGTGTCCGCATCTTACAGCACCTCTACCTGGACAGGGCATGGCACTTTGTGGCAGAGCACGATGTCCAGGACATTCGGAACTTGGTGTCCGTCGGCGGGTACGTGTGTGGGCTCGTCGGGGCCCAACACTTCGTAACCCGCCTCTTCTGCGTCCTCGTATAGACTCCTGCCAGCGGGGGACACGACTCGCGATCCCCTCGACGGATGTTTTGCGTTGAAGTCCCCCGCTATAATGGCAGGAGTGTTGTCGGAAAAAATATTCCGGATGTCTCTGGCATTGAAGGGCGAGCTGGGCGGGCGATACGCAGCGAACATGCGTATCTCTTTCCCGCCCGCGTGGAGGCATACGCCTATGGAGCGCATGCTTACAAAGCTACGCAGCTCCTCTTCGTCGTGTACTAGGTCCCGCCTTACCAGCACGGCCGTGCTTCTATAGGCATAGCCGTGGTCGGGGGAGATCTCGTCCCGTCTGTACACGACGAAGTTTGATAGGCGGAGCGGCTGACTCGGACGGAGTTTGGTCTCTCCCAGCAGCACAATCTGGATGTTGTGCTGCTGAACCAGCATCCTAAGTTCCGGGAGCCACTGCGTTATGCCTCCGGGGTTCCAATACATGGCCCTAATTTGCGGCGCCATTGCGTACCGCGGTCAGAGATTTGATGGCGTTGGTCACCGCCGTTAAGGTGTCGTTGCCCGTAGCGATGGATACCAGGAAAATGCCTGTCACCAGCCGGATTAATTGGTTGATTGCCTCCTCAATTCCTTGTGCGACATACGCAGATTCGCGGGAATGGGAGGCAGTGGCGTGGTGGGCGGGTGGTCCCCTTACCCCTTGGTGTTGTTGGTGTGGGCGCGGTGTAACTGTTGCCGCTGTGGCTACATTCTCCCGCTGCTTCTGTTGCTGCCGTTTTTCAGCGCAGCAGTGGTGGTGGTTTGGGAAGCGGGGGGCGGGCTGCGGGGTCACCACTGCTTGGCCCGCTGTATGCGGTTGGGGGGTGGACTTCTTCTTCCTCTTCCCCCTCTTCTTCTTTTTCTTGGCCTCCTGGCCTCGAATGGTGGCGTCATTGGCTGGTGCCATGAGTGTGGCGTGGGTTGTTGCCGCTGGCTGCGTCGTGCTCACTGCCGTTGCGGGGGTTGTCGCCGAGTTCCCCTGAGTTTGAGGGGGAAGAGGCATTAAGCTCCTATCGGGAGGGTGTGGTACTTGCCTGGGTGGTGG